TGACTGACGGATATGCACCTCGTCCTGCTGTGACCCCCTCCTTCTCGTTGCTTTCTCGGCCGTTAGTACATGAATTAAGACCACAACAAGCTCCTCCAAGTAAATTGTCCGAACACCCCCAACGAAAGAAAACCCTTGTCTGCAACACGCCAATCCCATTCTCTTGTGCAAGATTACTTACGGGCGAACGGATTATTAGCTAGGGCCGACTCTTACACCCAATATCCAGCATGGATGTTTTAAGCCCAAGGCAGAGGCTCTGAAGGGCTCTCAAGGAGAAGGGGGTACCTGAGTTGGCAAAGCACCAAAGCACAGCGGTTTTCTCCGCACATGCCCCGATTAGGCCTAAGGGCAATGCAAGAAAATTAATCCGGAGCGATGTGAACAGCCGTCGCATTCGGGAGTGTCCATGGGAGCGAGGCAGACCAAGAGCATTCATTGTCTCCTTGAGGCTTGAAGCCAATCCCCTCCCGAAGCGAAGCGACTCCTCGATATGAAGAGTGTGTCCCTGTTATCCTATGCCATTGGTCTCTTGGTAAGGTCGCTACTACCGATCCTTGAGAATTGTTCGTTTGGTGGCCGATCCCTAGTCACCTCTGCAACCTCACAACCTAGACTTCTCTGCAGCAGGATGTAGACAGAAAAGAGGCAAAAAAAAAAAAAAAAAAAGACATCTTCTAGAGTATTGAGAGAAGCGGTGGGGGGGAAAGGGGGGTACGCGTCACGTCGACAATCTATCCATCGGGCAATAAACGAGGTCATAAAACTCTCCGACTTTCTTGGAAGCGTATATTGGTGGGCGTTGAAGGGATGGATCTTCGTTGATATTCGTCAAACTCCCACAAGGCCTAACGACCTCGAGTTGAATGCTGTATCAGTCCATATGCCCGATCTGATGTCTTCAATGTTCCTTCCTGACCTCCTTAATCAAGGGCCTGAATGATTTGATGGGACCAGGTTGTGGTCGGGACGAACCATCGCCCGTCTTCAATGGGCCACATGTCTTTTAGAGAGGTGACAAAATATTAATTAGCGGACGGATACCCCTTCTCGTCCCTTGCTCCTCTATACTTGAGATATGCTAACTCGGGAGGCCGACTACCCCGGCTGATACCGAAAGCACATATACGTGAGCGTCCGGCACCCTTCCAAGGCTGGGCTAGCTCGATTTTTATTCTTCTTCCTTTGCTGGAGAGGGCGACCAAGGCGGCGAAGGCACGTTAGATTGTAATTCAGTCTTAATACTTGGTCAACCGTGGACGGTGGAAGCGGGTTGATGCAAATGAAGAACGGCGTGTGGCGTCCACCATTCGATTTGACAGAACGATCTGACAGAAGACAGAAAAGGCGGATTAAGAAGTGACCTAATCCAAAAAGAACTCCACTACCTACATGTACCATTTTGGCCTGCCGGGTCCGGTCTGGACGCACACCAGCAAAGAAGCCATTCGGCACTGGTCGCCTGACACGCTGGAAGCCCTTTCCTTAGTACTATCACGATTGACAAACAGCTGGACTAACATCGTCGTATCCACAACCTCACCGACAAATCATACTGGCCGGCGATCCCCTCCGCTTTGCATTTCGTCACAGCTGCCCGTCTTATTCTTGCCCCTTTAGTTTTTGTTGCTCCCAGGTGTTACAGTGGTTCCCACCCTCCAGGCATCTTTGGGGAGAGGGGGCATTGTGGGGCAGTGCAGAGAAAGTACGAAGTAGCTCGCTAGCCCTTTGAAAGGGACTTGGAGTACCCCGTTGTCTGCATGAGGGTGAGTGAATAGGTTCCTTGTGGGGGTTTGGAGGCTCTGTAAGATTCCCACGAAGAAGAGAAAAAGGACGCGAGACAGAAGAGAATGAAAAAAAAAAAAAAAAAGAGAGAAAAAAAGGAGTAAAAACTGGTTGCCCTTGCATTCTTCCCATCTTCCATTCATCTTATCATCGCGTTAAAGAGAAACATGGAGCTTTTAAAATGATTCGTCGCGAACTTCAAATCAGCTTGGGACTGAATATTACAGAGAAACCCATTCAACTTCTAAGGACGCTAAACAAAAAGACCCACTAGAGATGGGCTGCATTCGATCCCAGGCTGGCTCTTCGACAACGGGCACGCTAAGCTCGCTGGCTCGATGAAAGCTAGCCGATCATAGATCCTTTCTAGCGCGGGTACATCTGAGAAGGGAGGGTAACCCACTGAAAATGCCTAGGTCATGCCGATGCTGAGGCATTGTCCTCCTTCTCGATGATGCGTTTGCTTGCACCTCCGAGCCCATGAACCGGAGGATTTGATGGTGGCGTGGAGCTCAAGTGGAGCGGACTTTACGCAATGAATTCTCCTTGGGTACCATAGATAGAGACTGGCCCACCACCAATTTCCTCTCAGAGCCAAAAACCCCTGCCCGACCTGCCACTCAGGAGTGCAACGCTTCCACCCACCCACCACGAAAAGTTTCTAGTGACCTTCTTCTCCGACCCCAGCGGGCAAAAGGGCTCCATCAAACTAGCGAGGGCGCAGGTGGAGAAACCTGCGCGATGGAGCAAAAGAAAGGAGGAGAAGTGATGGGATGGAGCAAGTCTTGTGTTATAATACGGACAGGGCCATGATTCTCTCCTCTTCCCTCCCCCGGTTCTCTTGCTAGTTCTCGTAATACCCCACCGGAGGTAATAAGAAAAAGAAAGAGAGAAAAAATTCACCGAAGCCCGCGCAGCCAAGTCAGGGAACATCACGAGAAGAAACATTGAAAACAGTAAACCCGCCAGTCTCTACAAGACCTCTCGGACAGCGAGCATTGAACCTCTGTTCTCTGAGCAGCAAGCGATTACCGAGTGCCCTCGAAGTCTTGTTTCGCCGCCACTCACTCACCCACCATTTGCGATCCCGTGTTAACCCTCCGCCTGGGGCTCCTCGGCGTCTTATATATTAAATCTTGCAATTTAAATGCGAGAGGCGATATTGCTTTGATGAGAAAGGGGACTTCCTCCCAGACGTCGGCCAACCACACCCATCGCCCAGCTCACAACCTGCTTCGCTGCTGAGCACGCGGTACCTTGCACTCGTCCGGCCGCCGGAAACAAGTTGAACGATCCGTATGAGGAATCGCGGACTATCGCCGAATCTATCCGAAAAGGCATTGGGTTTTTATTTTCTTGATAATCCGCACTCTCACATCTCACTCCTAAACACACTGAGCGGCAGGGGCGACCATATTCTCTCATTCTCTGGTCCTATTAATTGAAACCCGACGCCTCCTACTCTAGCTTTGAATCAAGCCCGGCATCATCCCCCATATTCCTCCTTCTGAAAACGACCTAGTGTATGAGAAGAAGAGTGGGAAGGAAGGAAAGAAGAAAAGGGAAAAGAAGCAGAAGAAGAGGAGAAGCAGAAGAACAAGCGGGACCCGACAAGCACTCGACGCTGCAATAACACCGCTCCTAAGCACCAGCACCACCGAGACGTTGCCTCCCCATCGCCCCAACTGAGACGAGGCGGCGCGCTCCTGACAGAGAGACCTTGAAAGCAAAGGACAGCACTGGCGAAGCGGCGCTCCCCGACCTGACGACCAAACGACGGCCTCTTTGCGAACCCAGAGGCTCACCACACCTGAACTCTGCGTCCGGTCTCAGTTTCTGCAGGCCCGAACCAAACCCGACGAAGCCGTTGCTCACTCCTGGCCTAGCTTCCGGGTTTCTTTTTTTTTTTTTCTTCTTTTTTCCCTGCTCTCTGCCGGGCATTGGCTCTGCATCCTGATCCCCAAAACTCCATTTTCCAGAACAACGATCACCTGGAAGGAGGGGCTCGGAAGGAAGTGTGTGATACACTGCTCCGAAAGATTATCAACATCCCCACGGAAGTTGCCCGGTATGTGCCTGCCGTTGTTTCTCTTTTCTCTTCTTGCATCTCGTACCTTATGCCCGAGTCGCACACACATGCACACGCACACACGCCATGTGTTCCCCACTCACTGATCAATTGGGAGGATCGACTGCGCTGTGTCTGGCCCAGGATGGGTGGTACGGGCGGAGCGACATCCAGTTCCTCCTCATTCAGAGGACCCTCGTGCTATTGGGCAGGGGCCAGCGCCTCGACCTACGGGCCACACCTTCCCACCTTCCAGCGTACACCCTCCTGACGTGCCTGCCACTTCGGCCCACCCCCGCCTCCTGCCCTCCTGCCTTCCCCCTGGTCTGGGAATCCCCGAATCCCCCCCTTCCTTCTCCTCCCTCTCCAACACTCTTCACTCCTCCCCCGGTCATCTATCCCGTTCTCCTTGAGACACCCCCTCACGCCATCGCCCACACCCCCTGACTTGCACCCATACCCCGCCATCCCATCTAAACTACACGACCCTGGACGACACCCATCAATATCGAGCATACTGCTCGTACCAGAGTTTAGAGATTCACACGGGCGCTGGAAGGGCCGCAAGACGTTCCGTTCCCCCAACAGCGCGAGTCTCCACCTTCTCCGCCGTGCACGCTGCCTCGCTGTTTGGTTCCTGTTAATGCTTCCTCTGGATTCTCGCTCCGTCATGCTTAATGCCCACCTTAAATCCATCCTTCTCTGGCCTTTCCCCACAAAATGACACATCGGTCCGTTCAAGTACCGCATACTGGGTCCTTGCAGTTGTGTATAGGGTGGAGCCAGCTCTCCGTCCATCCCGTCCTCGCCAAGTGGTGAGAGAGAGATAAAGATACAAAATCCCCCTCCACTTCTCGTCTCCATCATCTCGACATTTTCAAGCTATCCTCTCCCTTCATTCATTATATCCACTCGAGACATCACACATCCTCCAAGGCGTCGCTGACCCTACACTTCAACCAACTTCTTGCATTCGTTTGGAGTCAGCCACCTCGTCTTCACAAGCTTGTGCTTTGCAACCTTCTCATGAACATCTTCGTTTAAGGACTCGTCTCCTACCGCCCTAATATTTTCCCCGACTAACCTGTGCAAATCGGTCAAGCTGTCGCCCCAATCTAATATACCGATTTTCCCCTCTCCGGACAACATGTTGTCTAATCCGCTCCATCGCTTTTCTCCGTACCACACCATACCGTCCACCACCCTCCTCTCGAACGGTCATGTCCCCAACCCTCACCTCCACTCTGGCCTTGAGGGTATTCCCCAGGGTCCCCACTACGCCCTTCAGCAGCTCCAGCAGCATGTCGGCGTGAACCCGCACATGGCCCGGCCAGGCCCTCAACAGAAACACAGGCAGCATCATTACGGCCCTGCGACGAGAGCTACTGGAGCTGCCGGCCCTATTAGGCGGAGAATCAGCCGAGCTTGCGACCAGTGCAACCAGCTACGGACCAAGTGTGACGGACAGCATCCTTGCGCTCACTGTATCGGTAAGTAGCGTTTCCAACTCATCGGGGCAGGGGTCCCTTAATTTGTCACTGCTCCTGTCACAGAAGCCCCAGCTAACGATGGCCATTCAGAGTTTGGTCTTGGCTGTGAATACATCCGAGAACGCAAGAAGCGCGGCAAGGCTTCCCGCAAGGACCTTGCCCAGCAGGCTGCGGCCCAGGCTGCCGCTGCTGCTCAGGGTGGCCAGAAGCCCCAAGACGGTAGCCAATCGAATGACCAGCGATCGAACAGCCCTTCGAGCACCAAGAACATGCAGAATGACGGGCAAGACCAGAAGGTCATGAACGATCTTCAAGAGGATGCCATGCAGCGCAGCCAGAGGACTGGTAGCCTTGATACAATCGGCGAGATGTCGAGCCAGCAGCACATGTCGGGCCACTCGATGGACCGTGACCACCTTGATAGCCCCACCGGACTTGATCTTAATGGCTATGGCAACGTCCACACTGGCTACGAGAGGCAGGGAATGGGCCACATGATGAACGGCCCTAGCCACGCAGGCTACGGCCCCAGCCAGGGCAATATGTCGAGCTACCCCGACCTCCCTTATGGCATCCAGACCCAGAGTCCCACCAACTTTTCCAACAACGCGGCTTTTCGCATGGGTGGCGGTCCCTTGAGCGGCTATCCGATGGGAGCGGAGTCCACCTCTCCGGGCTGGAACCTCAGCATGTCCTCGCCCCCGGCTCAATTTCAAACCCACATGCCTCAGCAGCCCAGCTTCCCTCAACAGTCTCACCACCTCCGGTACCCAGTTCTCGAGCCTCTCTTGCCTCATCTTGGCAACATCGTCCCTGCCTCACTGGCCTGTGATCTAATTGATCTCTACTTCTCCTCTTCCTCCTCGGCCCAGATCCACCCCATGTCCCCCTACGTTCTCGGCTATGTTTTTCGGAAGCGCTCCTTTCTCCACCCCACCAAGCCTCGACAGTGCGCACCGGCTCTCCTTGCCAGCATGCTCTGGGTAGCGGCCCAGACCAGTGACGCCCAGTTCTTGACCAGCGTCCCTTCCGCACGCGGAAAGATCTGCCAGAAGCTCTTGGAGCTTACTGTCAGCCTCCTCAAGCCTCTTATTCATACACCCTCGGGTGACGTGTCTCCTGTTTCAAGCCCCGTCATTGATGGCGTTGCTTTGGGAGGCCTCGGTGTTGCCCTTCCCGGCTCCATCAGCATGGATGCCTTGACTGGTGAATCCGGCGCCTTCGGCGCTGCGGGCACCCTCGATGATGTCATCACTTACATCCACCTAGCTACAGTCGTCTCGGCCAGTGAGTACAAGGGCGCTAGCCTTCGGTGGTGGAATGCCGCCTGGTCACTAGCTCGTGAGCTGAAGCTCGGCCGCGAGCTCCCGCCCTCGCCGAATGCGATGAACCAAAACGGCGAGAACGGCAATGAGGTGGATGCGGATGGCGAGGCGGACGAAGAAATCAACGTTCCCGGTGTCATCTCTGAGGAAGAGCGAGAAGAACGCCGCCGCATCTGGTGGCTTGTCTATATTGTGGACCGCCATCTTGCTCTCTGCTACAACAGGCCTCTCTTCCTCCTCGACATCGAATGCGATGGCCTCATGCTACCGATGGACGAGACTTCGTGGCAGAATGGCGAGTTCCGGGCCTATACCAACGGTAACACCGACCCCAATGTCCTCAATGCGGGTGCCGGCGTGGGAACGGGCCAGATTACCCGCATCCGGGGGCCTCATTTCGAATGCACAGGTCACAGCATCTTTGGCTATTTTCTTCCTCTGATGACTATTCTCGGCGAAATTGTCGATCTTCACCACGCGCGAAACCATCCGCGATTCGGCGTCGGCTTCCGCTCTGCCCGTGAGTGGGACGAGCAAGCTGCCGAGATTGCGCGCCATCTCGAAGCCTACGAGAGAAGCCTCAAGAGGTTCGAACAGCAGTACCTCCGAACTTCGAACGGGGACGAAAAGGCGGATTCCGGGGCCAAGGACAACAACGGAGACCTCGTCGGCAACATCGCCGAGGGCGGGTCGCCTTCAGGCCACTCGGTCCACACCAACTCGTCGAGTCGCATGACTGAAGGCGATATCCAGACCCGCATCGTCGTTGCTTACGGTACCCACGTTATGCATGTCCTCCACATCCTCCTTACGGGCAAGTGGGACCCCATCAACCTTCTTGACGACAACGACTTGTGGATTTCGTCCCAAGGCTTCATCAACGCCACCGGGCATGCCGTGTCCGCGGCGGAGGCCATTAGCAACATTCTTGAGTACGATCCCGGCCTGGAGTTTATGCCCTTCTTCTTCGGCATCTACCTGCTCCAGGGTTCCTTCTTACTTCTTCTCATCGCCGACAAGCTTCAGCTTGAGGCCTCGCCAAGCGTGGTCAAGGCGTGCGAGACCATTATCCGTGCCCATGAGGCCTGTGTTGTCACACTCAACACCGAATACCAGCGCAACTTCAGCAGGGTCATGCGCAGCGCGCTCGCACAGGTCCGTGGCCGCGTGCCAGAGGATCTCGGTGAGCAACACCAACGCCGCCGCGAACTGCTTTCTCTATACCGATGGACCGGTGATGGAACCGGTCTAGCCCTTTAATAGTCTTTTATCATTTTGTCATTTCGGGCCATATCTGTTTTTATATTCGGTGCTTTACATATATCCAGGGTCGCAACCATTGTGTGGTACGGGGGTGGTGTATAGGGAGTTATGAATTTGGTTTTTTTTTTTTTCCAGGAGGATGGACAAAATGGTTTACAAAGGCGCAAACTGGGAAACAGGGGAGACCCTTTGGGCTTGTTCTTGTCTTATTCTCCTCCCTCTTGATATGGAGGTTAGCTCATGTATATATGTTTGGACTTGCTTCTTCTTCACCTTGCCTAATAAGGGTTCTCGCACGAATCGGACTGTCTTCACTTCAATACAGGTTTTGTTTGACAAAATTAGATTGGTTTCCACTATATCATCACATCTTTCTTCCTTTGCTGTGCAACTTGGACCCTTGCCCTCTTTTCCCGAGGTATAAACATGTTGACAAAAGCACAGAGTCTACTATTACGCAAAGATGTGATGCTCTCACTAGTCAGCGATCATAGATAAGTCCACGTCGTATAACTTACATATACATGGTGACCACCTTCCTTCTTTTTCAGAGCTGGTAATCATGGCTCATCGAGGTGTAGCGGTCATCTCCCTTCTTCACATTTTCCACAATACACATAAACAAGCAAGTAGATAGATAAATGGAGCGGTATCACTCCATATGGTTATGTAGAACCGCCCTCTTCATTTTCTATATCATACATGATCCCTATCGTCATGGACCCCGGTTTGGCCTTAGTAATGGTACAACTGAAGCGAGCCGTCTTATTGACCCCTTCACAGCCCCTCTGCCTAATCGAGACCTGATAACCAGCCTGAGCCATTCAAGGCAGCTAGCGCATCAAACGCGCCATACGAGGAGTCATCTGCGCTCATCCTACCTGAGCCGTTGATTCCAGCCCTGAATCCGAATCCTTGCGAATGCTGTTGTTGCTGCTGTTGCTGCTGCTGCTGCTGCTGCTGGAGACTGTGGTCCGCAGACGATAGGGGCGATTGAGGCTGGGCCATAGCCTGCGTTGCCGGAGCAGACGCGCCCGAGTTTGGAGTAGTGCCGTTGACGGGGACGTCCCACGACTCGAAATTTTGCTGCCACCGCACACCGTCGTTGAGATACCAGTTTTGGGCGTCGATACCCGAGTCTTGGAAGATGTTGGTAGGCGAGACCTGTCGCGTCCCCGAGCGGCTCGTCTGTGACGATGTTAGGTTGCTACCTCCCGCCGCCAGAGGCGAGAACCTGGGGTGGTGCGGGTAGCCGGGAAGTGTCGGGGTCGCACGGAGGTTAGCCCAATCACTCGTTCCGGGAGAGGCTCTTGTACCCCGATGGAAAGGGCCGCGGAGAGCTGCTGCTGGGTCACAGGTACATTGAGGCTAGGCGGGATAGAGGTGGGATTGCTGTTCGTCGCTGCAAGCGAGGAGGCGGCGGTTTGGGCCAAAAGGCGCTCGTTGGCCTGTATCTGCTCGAATCCGAGGATGCTTGCGTATGGTGGGGCTTTACTCACGGAGGCGGCGAACTCGGTGGAGGGGAACCTACGCCGAGGCCACCACCGCTCGCTGGAGAAGGCACTTCGGAGGTGCTAAAGGTTCCGTACTTGTCGTCGGAGCGCTGCAAGATAGTCCGCGCTTCATCGGGCAACTCGCAATTCCACTTCCGAGAGAGGACGCTTAGAATACCCAAAGTGCGCCGAGCACAGAGCCAATCCTCGGCAATCTCCTCGAGGTGTTTGACGCCGTGGATAATATCGCGCTTGGCGGTCTTGTCCGGGAGATTTAAAAGGTGGATCGTGCAAGCGCTGTGAATGATGTAGACGGCGATGTTGCAAATTTGGCGGAGGTTCCAATTCTTCTTGTAGAGTCGGATGAGCTTGGAGATGGCGATGGCATTGGCCGTGCAGATGCGACGCGGAGAGACGTGAGCAGGCAGTGGAGAAGCAGCCGGGGTGTATTTTAGGAATGGGCGGAACAAGTGGATATACTGGAGATGAAAGAACATGCTGGCAATGGGGGAGAGTTTGCGTTAGCAGCTCTGAGTGCCAAGGGAGTGGGAGCGGGGGTTGGTGTGCGAAACCAAAGGCAGGCAGGTACTTACTGGGTAAGAATTACGTTGGGCAGCTGGCCGTCCTTGGGCTCAAACTCATTGGGGAGCTCCTTGCGCCATTCCTCCAGGCGGCGGTGGAGCTCGCTCAGCTTCTTTAGCTCGGCGGACTTTCCGGTGGATCTACCAAGGTGAGTAGGGTGATAGAAGAATATGAGCAAGTCGCTGCTGATCTCGCAGAGCTTGGAGAGCTCTAGGCCGATAGCCCGCGTGCGTGCAGGTTGTTTAGATGACTGGTCGAAGCCGTTGTCGGTGTAGGGCGACCACGACTCGGCATCTTCGTCTGGGAAGACATCATATTTCGGGACGCTATAGGAGCCCTGAGGGATCTGGGGCAGGCGTCCCAAGTAGTTGGACCAACATTTGTCAAAGAGAAAGCAGCCCCAAAATGTTATCCTCCGGGCATCGATCTCGTACTCGCTCATCCGCTCCTGGGCCGAGCCCATGGCGCCCGCGTCGAGGTTGAGGCCAATGTCATAGGCCATGCGGAAACTCATACCGCTATACACCCAACCCTTGGCTTCTCTTCCGCAGCCGGCTTCGCGGACGGACATTATAGCCAAGGCCTGGACAGCAGTAAGCCTCGGTTTCTCGTACTCATCGTTTTCAACGATTAACCTCTTGGCCTCGGCGATGAAGTGGTCGCCCTTGGTCCGGCTGTCCCCAGCCACGGCGAATGCGCCGGGAACGGATGTAAAATGGCAGCCCAGCCCGAGAATGGCGTTTACGAGGAGAGAAGAACAGTAGACGGGGTTGGCGTGTTTGCCTCGGAAGAAGTCCTGGTAAAACAGCCGCTTGGAAAGGGTAGCAAAGTAGGGATAATGCCAGTTGAAGTACATGTTGACGAGGTGGATGATGAGCTGTGGGTCTTTGGTCACGGTGGTCCAACTTGTAATGGGATCTTCGGCCACGTGGGCCAGGGCAGTGGCTGGCTCCGGGGCCACGCTAGATGCCTCGCCGAGGTAGATGAGATGGGAGGTGCCGCCGATGAAGCGCACAAGACCATTCTCTAGCCGCAGCTCGCCCATCTTTTGAGCAAGGTCATGCTCACCGCCGAGGGTGAGGCCAGCGGCATCGCCGTCTTCCAACGGTTCCGACGACTCTGTATCTTGTACTCCGAGGCTCTGGTGGTTCAGGATGGCTTCAGCAACAGCGTCAAGGCTAGTGCTGGTACGGATGCGATGAACCAGGTCATGGACTTCGTCCTCGGGGAAGCTGATGATGGCGTCTATCAGGACATGTAAAGTGGAGTTTTTAGCCTTGACGGTACCAGCCTTTTCCCTGTAGACACCCTTCCGCCGGTGATCCGAATTGGGGTCATAAACGCACTCGGTGCCGTAAACGCTGGCGCAGGCGGCGCAGCTGGGAAGGGCGCCGTCGCATTTGGATTTTCTCCGTCTACAAGCGATGCAAGCAGTACTCACGCAGCGGCGTTTCTGAGTGGATGGATCGGTATTTCCGCGCGTCTTTTTCTTGCCGGCGGAGGCCGGGGCAGGTCTACTGCTCGAGGAAGCTTGGTGTGAAGTGGTTGTATCCATGGTGAATCCGAATTGTTACGTAATGAGGGGAGGAGATTTCACAGAGGTAGAAAGGGAGATGAAGAGTAAAGGGGACTGATCAACAGCAGGCGGCTGCTCAATCATGGTCCAACCCTCTTCAAGGGAAGACAGGAGGGTGACACAAGCTAAGAATTTGGAGAGTGAAAAAGAAAATGACAAAAAAGGGAGCCGGAGGGTTGTGCACTTGGTGGTTGTGACTCTGGCGATGGTAATGGTGGTCGAGGCGTAGCAAGTGTGGTGTGGAAGAGAAGGAGAAGGCGCGATGCGGTATCTGTGTGCGCGCGGGGACTAGTGTAGAAGGGCCCAAAAATTGGTGTAGGCCTCGCAATCGCATGTACTGCGCAAAAAAAATCCAGGTCAAGAACGTGCTTGGTCGGTAGGGACAAAGACCAGCCAAAATCCCTAGTCTCAAGGTCGAAAAGAGATCCGGTGAAGTAGTGAGGTGGTTCCTACAAGCGCGATATAACACGGCGGAGGGTTGATGGGATTTGGAGGGAGATGTAGACGGAGTCCCCACGCAGCATCAATCGGTAGTTTGGTACTTTGAGGAATAGTGCTGAAAGATAACACTGAGGGAGGGTATCCGGGGTGAAGGTGGGTGGTCGAAAGAGACAAGCACGCAATCCGGGCTTCGGGTCTGTCACCCCAAGGCAAGGGCGCGCAACAGGGCGAGAGACGAGCGATGGCGTGAAGCCGGAGAAGAGAAAAGCTCTCGCTCCACCAATTCAGCCTTCTCAAGTGCCTTCCAAAAGCAGGCCAAGGTAGGTGGGGAAAGAGGTGAGAACAGCCCCCTACTCGTAAGGGCAGCTCTTCTCAAAGACCAGGCGCGGGGGTGGAGAAAAGAATTTAAGGTGGATGTGCGGAGCCACTTGTCGGACGGTTGACGATGCTCGAGGGCTGGCGGGTTCAGAGCGTGCAGTTGATGGGAGGAGGGGAGAAGCGCAATAGTCGAGGCAGGGTGCCAGGTAGCGTGCGTTCATGCGGTGGTGTTTAGAGATCCAAGACGCTGGCTCGCGGTGAGACTTGACGAGAGCCCTATGTAACTCAACACTGCGTTAAGCATGGGGCCGACGGGGGACAAGAGGGAAAAAGAAGGGTTAAGCAATGAAGTAAATGTGAGCAAGTCAGCGGGGAGGCGCCGGTAGCGTACAAGGTTTTTCTTCCTAGGAGTTTAGTCCAGCACTTCAGACTATGGGACCAGAAAAGAAAGAAGAAAAAAAAAGGTTAAAACAAAGAACGGCTGCTGAAACAAATAGAAGGCATTTGATTTCTCATTACATGTACTGTAAAGTGCGCCATTGCCCATTTTGAGACTTCGGCCATTCAACCCAGTCCATGTCGGCGAAAGCTGTAGGCTTCATGTACAATAATACCCCGTCTTGGTGCGCTGGGCCTGGCCAGGCTGGGGGCTCGATTGGACTCTTGACTGGATTGGTAAGAGGACGTGACTGAGACCAGGACCTTTGGCCTTGGTCTACCCTAGTTCTCATGCTGCGTTAAAAATCCAAGGTACACTACTAGTCAGACACGCTCGACAACCGTCAATCCCGGGTCGTATGATGGACGAACCCCTCAGCCAAAGGGCTAGGTCGAAGCGACAGCTACCATCCAGGGAGGGCGGTACATCCGCGTGTACAGGTACACTCGACTCGAGCCTCTGACGGACGGAGGCGCAAATACAATGCAGCAGGACAAGTTTAAAAGTGCAGTCGTACTCTTTCTTCAAAGGGGTCAACCCCGGCGCACGAGCAGTTGATTTGGAAGCAAATGCCGAGAGACCTCCGCGGGGAGACTGCTGGACTTGTACCGCAGCCAGCTATTATCCTATGCAAAGGTACATCCACTACGGGGTTGGTCCGCAATTCGTCTGGCATTTGGCATCAAATTGATCCCTGGGACATCCCCGGACCCAGATTCTTAGAGCTCACCCCTCGCTAAGTACATTCATTGCTTTCGTTTGTGTAACCTCAACACGACACAGCACGGACAGACAACTCGTCATGTCCAGCTGCCGCTCACAAGATTCAAAGAGACTTGAGACAAGAATAACAGTGGATCGAGTGGAGGAAAGACTAAAACGACTCCCAAGATTTGTTGCGTCCACTTGTCCTTTGGGCCAAAGACTGGACAGCGCATCGAGCAGTCTCCCTCCCTCTCTACTTCAACGTCTTTGCCCTCTACATCGCCCGTGCACGTAGGCAGTCAATTCTCCCAGACATGCGGCTGGGCCTCACTGGCTCACCCGCGTCTTCTCAGCAGCCACGGATAACTACGGCCTCCCACTGGAAGCCGTTCGGCGGTTGCTTGAGATTCCAACACTCGCCAGAGCCATTGATCGTACCCTCGTACTTCGTAAATAAATCAGCTCTCGTCATGCACATGCCGGGCATCGCCGGTACCGCAGAGCCTCCGCACCTCGCCGAGCATGCTTGTCGTCTCTTCTTGGATTTCGTCAGTCTCCATCCCCCATATGTACCAGCGCAAATGAAGGAGAGAAGAAACAAACCAGGGCCAGCACACCATCCATCTACCGGCAGTATCACGATACCATTCAGGTCTGTTAGGCATAGCCGTCTTGTGCGACCCACCTCCCTCGGTATGTAGGTATGGTCCCCATAACATCACCACGTGGAAAAGATGTCCGCTCTTTCTTTCTTTCTTTCTTTTCTTTTTCTTTTCCCTCCCCCTTCTCTCCTTGGACCCTCCACCTAAATCCATCCCTTCTCCCCTCCGTTTCAACTCAACTCGTGGACAACAGCTTAGCCAAGGGGTGTCTCAAATATCCCCCGCCGTTCCCCGTACGTAGGCTACATAGACCTTCTTCTACTGAGTGTCCTCTCTCCGCCCCAATGCCGAGTCAGCAGCTTGGACCAGGGCCGGAGGGCCAATTATGCAAGGAAGGGATAATCCTATCACGGTTCACGAGTCACGATCCTCGCCGAGGGAAGGGGGGCCCTGACTTCCGTCTTCCTCCCGCCCTCGATCGGCGGGATGTGGTGTAACCACCTATCGCCTCGTGCCAGGTTGAGACAGTATTCAAGTACTCGTCATTATCTATATTGATTTTCTTTTTCAAGACTTTGGTCCCTTGGCCCCAAAGTCTCGGGTTTGCCCCGCTCATCCTGCTGCCTCCGGGGTACATGCGTGGAAAATCCTCTGTTCTCCTCTGCATACATGTAGACCTAACCAGAGGCATATGAGCGATGCATGTATAAACAACACCACTATCTCGGGTCATCGTGATGCGAAGGATTTCCGCCCAGCGCTACCGCATCGCGCAGGTGGCCTCATAAGGGTTGGCTTCCCGAAACACCAGTTATCGAATACCGAATAGATTGAATAGATAAAGAGCACATCCCCTTTGCACGCACCCATACCCACACAAAGAGGAACATTGATAGGAACACAACAACGTAGCCGTTTGCCTTTCGAGAGCTAGGAATTGAGAGAGCGTGTCATGTGTGGCGAGTAAGTCAAGAACATACTAATAATCAGGTCATTATTCATTTTGATCAAGCTGAGGTCTTTGATCTTGCTTCCTCCCTCTTCCGGCCCAACTCTTGTTCTGGCCGGAAACCAACAATGCACCCAAGTCCACTCGAGCTTGGATCCGTATAAGCTGCTTGCCAGGAGCCACACGCCAAATTTCAGCCAAAGACAGACGAAGAAAGGGTGACCCGAGGGCAAAAGTGAAAAGGCCAGAAAGGAGAGCGCCTATGCCTTTTCCGAGGTATTATAAGCTAGTGTTGATGCACAAACGACTATTTTCGGGTCCGTGGATCAACGAAAGACGAAAAAAGGAAAGAAAAAGAAAAAGTGGAAGAAGTGAAAAAGAAAAAGAAATCTCTTTCTAATGTACAGGTCGCACCTCGCCACTACTCATGGATGGCGAGGAAGATGAAGCTTGGCAAAGCAGAGAGAAGGTTTAAGGAAGAGGTGGAAAGAAACCGGCACGAGAACGTGCCTACTGCGTCACGCCATCTACACGCCCTAAACGGATGTTCAGTGGTTACCCTTCTCTATCCAGTGCCGGGCCCCATACAGGCACATCCGCCCTGGTGGTTCGCAGGTTACTTGGTTCGCGCCCCGTGAAAACGGGGTTGCGCGTGTGCGAGTGAGTATGCATAATGTGTGGGGTTCACGCGCGAGTACAGCACAAAACAGCAACACCCAGAACCCAGCCGTACGCGCGGCGCGGTCCCAACCGCAAACTACACTCCGTTACTTGATGTGGCCTACCGGTTACTCCTTCCGGTAAAATGATCACGGATCCAGCCAAACGTACGACTACCGCTCTCTCGCTGATTTTCCTGGTCCGGCTGGCCCGAACGGCGGCTGTTCGTTGACGGACTCCTAGTCCTGGTTCCGGACCCACGGTCAGTAATATTAGGGGAGACATCGAGGTTCGCCGAGACCCTGCGTTTGGCCAGCGCTGCTCACGGTCAGCACTTGTCCCCGGCGAGTTCCGGCCTAGAGGATCATAGGTCCGGAACGACGAAAATCCCCCAAAGACCCTGCCGCGGGGTTGGCTCCCGGCATCCGGAGTTCGAAATCGGTTTGAGCCGGTACGTGGCTGCATGCTAGGGAACATGCCAGGCAGCAGGTCTCCGAACCCGGCTCCTGCTTGGGCCGCAGGGCTCGACGAGGCCTCCCGGCCAGCAGCTGTATTCGGTTGGGCTCCAGCGTTATTTGTCTCGATAGGAGTACGACAGATCGGACAGGTATTGTGCTCCCGGAGCCACATTACCACGCATGTCTCGTGGAACCAATGCTTGCAAGGAAGGTAAATCACCTCATCCCCTATTTTGATCTCGTCGATACAGACCGTGCACTCGACGTTGCCGCCTGCTTGCGCGAGCATCTCGGCATCCATCTTCTTACGTTCCAGGCCCTCAAGCGCAGCGTCAGAGGCGGGCGGCGCCGCATTTGACTGGGGATTGGCTTCCATGAGGTTTGAGATGATTCGATCGAGCGCCTCTTGCGTGTAAACGGCATCTCCGTGGCGAGCATTTGCCGGATCAACAATTAGTCCGAGTAGATTTTGAAGGCTGATGAGCAACTCTCCGGCCGGATCCCGGGCATTCCTTTCCCCTTCCGCGCCACCCACACCCTCCGCGCGGTCAATACCTTCAGTCCCCTCGGGCGCATGGGGTGGACGAAGTCCAGGCCCGGCGAGGATAGTTCGGAAAACACTAAGGTTCATGGTTAGCAGCAAGCCGGAAAGAGGGGGAAGCCCCGAAAGAAAAAGGTCTCCTCGCTCTCAGGCGGCCTCGTTAGCCTCAAGAGGGCAGGGGATGCAAAGGTGGTGGTTCGTACTGAGTAAACGGCGGGGTCTCGTCGTCACCGGGACGTCGATTTCCAAACATGGGACCAGACGATATCGTCCAGCTCGTCGTGTGCGTGCCGTCGACGCTGGTAAATGTGGTGCGCCTAATACCACCGTTACCGAGTGGCGAGAAGGTTTCTCCATTCCGGGAGTTCTGGGGAGGCATGGTAGGAAACATCCTAGGAGCTCCCGCCCCGAGTAGGTCAACAAAGCGACGAAAAATGGCGTCATCAGGCCCGTCAATAGGCGCATTACGAGAACGTTGGTTCGGGTCTCCGGGGCTCGAGGGGGCGTCATCTAGGTGGTTATCGTGCTGGGGTGGCCATTGTCCGCTCCCGCCCCTCAGTTGCCCCCGAAGGCGAAGGGACCGTGGTGCCGAGGATGCAAATGGTCTTCGATATCCGCCTCCTCAGGGTCGGAGTCTTCGGAATACCGCCGAGGTTGTAGTTCCGGTGGAGAGGCCGTTGTACGGTCTTCGCGATACATGTCTCGCGGATCAGTTTCGCGGGAAATCTAAAACAAGTAGAACACAAGCATCGGTTTAGCATACGCTCCTAAATCTTGCTGGGGCTATTAACGATGACGGCCAGCTTACAATTTCAACACACTCGTTGTGGCAGGATGGACATGATTCCTGGCCACCCTCGTCCGCATACCATTCGTGGTGACAGGAGTGGCAGAACACAACAGTACGATCAGTGGTAGCGTCTAGGTGGCCTGGCCCGGTACTCCCGTCGGAAGCCATTCTGGCGGCCTGACTGCGTTGATGGGCAGCCAAGGCTGTGAGACCTAGGCCTGCGACGAGGCCTGCGAGTCGAAACGCTCTGGAAGCCACCCTGAGAAATTCGTCGTTCGACGAGCTTGTTTAGGGACGCTGCGTTTGGCGTGGGGAGGGGGGCGATGATTTCGCGTTGAAATCGGGAAGCTTGTCCACGTTGGAGTTCGGCTGCGTTGCTGTTGCGGAGTATGGGTGGGTGTGGGATTGGGAATTTTGAGTGCCGGGGTCAGGGTGGGGTGTGTGTACAAAAGAGAACGTTCCTTGTGCTTCTTCGACCCTTGGACCCGAGCGTGGCTAAAATACTGGAACCAGTGCGTGCGAGATGGTTTTTGGCGTCGATACTTGAAATGAGAGCTAGAGAGAGCAAGATCCTTTGGTCAGGCTTTGAAAAGCACGTCTTCCTACCAATCACAACAGCAAGACCATGTTCCCCGCGCGTTGTTGCTTGGTGAAGAGGTGGCAATGACCTCTCAAGAGGCAGGGACTGGAATGAGGGGTGGGCTGGTTGGTGGGTGGCCACTTACCTGGGGAGAAGACTATTTTCAAGAAGCAAGAAGAAGAGGAAAAAAAAAACAGAAAAGAAAAGAAAAGAGAGGGCCTCGAGACGGGGGAATAGTTGCGTGACGAGGTAGACAGGCAAATATTCTAAGCTTTTGCCGTGGCAGGGAGAAGAAAATGGCAACTTGTGGATGAAGGGTTGAGAATCAAGCCTGACCTTATGGCGAAGTGCGAAGGCAGAAAGGATGCCAACACAAGACAACTATTGGTAACGGAAAGTGCCAAAGTGGATGCGTCAGCCGGAATGAAATCATCAGCCAGATCAAATCAAGAGAATAATGATAAGGTTCTAGGGGTTCAATCCAGGGTCGATATGGGCTCTGCTTATGCTGAAGAGAATAGTGGAGAACGAGGGTATCGAGGAGAGAAAGAAGGCAAAGAAAGGATTGATTTCGTCCTGTGTTCGCAGTTGAAACGAGGTGAGAGTAAGAGGTGTTGATGGTCGGCCGCGTCCCTGGCAGAGGATGACGAACTGGGGCAAAGAACGGTCCTGAATGAGATGATCAATAGATGTACCTCTACGAGCAAGTGTGGTGTAAAGGTACCAAGCAAGCAGCTCCGGTTGGAAGGGGTTTGTTAACTGAACAAGACGGGAGTTTACTTGTAGACTGTTCGTGACGGTTGAGCTCCTCCTACAAACCGCCAGGTAGCCCCACCAACCCGCCAGCCCACCCTCCCAACTCCTTCCGCCGGTGACGGGCCAAGGCCGGGTCAAGCAAACTACCTCAATCATTACACACACAGTCATGAATCGGTTATTACCTAACGTCATCAACGCTGGTTTTACTACGTCTGGCCAGCACGAACTCAGCGCAAGCTGTGGCGATTTGCCACTCAACAGCAACTCCCCTCCAAATTCTTCCAGAATGATCCACAAGCGCTAATTATTCGTTTGAAACAAAAGTTATTTTTCTTCATCATTGACGAGCGATCCGGAGTTATCTAAATCAAACGATAGGTCCCTCGATTGAAATTCGCTATGCAATGTTGCTGCCTCATCCAAGACCAAGAACCCTCGGTGTGGCGCTAGGGATCATATACTGGGCGCAAATGCTTGGAAAGGACAGTCAAAGGGGCCGTATCTCTATGGGTCGATGATCTTCCCAGCAGGAGGCTACTTCGACGGGGAGGGCGAAGCAGTAAATGGACAGCGAAAGGTGAAGTCAGTTGAAAGTCAGTTAGGAGCAACTAGGATCAACAGATAGCCACCGCGGGGTTCCCTTAAATGCCGTGTACGCCGTTCGATATCATTTATACATGAGCAGACACACCACTCTCCCACTTTCGCTAGACATGAAGGAAATGCAACAATAGAGAGACAGGGAGCAGGCAGGCTCGAAAGAGAGAGAGAGAGAGAGAGAGAGAGAGAGAGAGTGGAAAAGACTAGAGGATGGCCGCCTAGGAACATCACCTCTTGCGCGCGTTCCTTAGTAGGAAGGCACCCACAGCGCCGGCAGCCACGGCCACGCCACCCATTATCGCAACGCCCACAAGCCCTTCTCGAGTGACCCGGTCATCAATCAGCGTCTGGAGGTTCGAGGCCTGCAGGTTGGCAGGTTCCTTGTCGAGCAAAATATCATTGTATCGCCTCGCTTCGTTGTAGTTGCCGAGCTTATAGTTGCCAAGGGCAAGATAGTATAGACACTCTCGTCGGCGCTCGGGGGCCACACGGAAGATGTCAGACAAAAGACGAACACCGAGTTGCTGGTCGGCCCTGGAACTCGATTTTACAAGACCCTAGAGGAGCGCGCAAGCGAATTTTACGTTAGCCACAGACGCCTAAGAGGACAAGGGGGTCTTGTTGCTGCGTTGTAGAAAGGCATACCCAAGCGTAGTTGAACTTTGTCTGCACGCTCACCATCTCGCCCTCCTTCTCAAACTGGTCGCGGAGAACCTGAAGCTCCGACTCCTTCAGGGGACTATGGAGGGCATGATTAGCACATGGTGGGGCAGGTAAGGGGCAAGGATATCTTCTTACGTCTCCGCATCTAGGGCATCTATTCAGGTTGTCAATAACGGGCTTCTTCAACATGTTGGCCGCTGCCTGGTGGCTTGGATGGAGCACTCACATGGTAACTCGTCACTACCCATGGTGGCGGCAGAATAAATCGGTAAAAAGTTATCAAGTTCAGGAGATCGTCACCAACGAAAGGAAAAGGCGGCTGCAAGAGGACTATAGGTTGGGAATAGAGAATGAAAAAGGGTATTCTGCCTACAGCTGAGGGGTGAAGGAGAGTAGAAGAGGAGAATAATTATCGATCATCAGGATATGGGGTGTGTCTGCGCCCTCGGGTTCAGATGAGCATCCGACGAAACCAGAAGCAGGACCAATGCGTCAGCACCAGCAAGCAGGTGGGAAAAAGCTTGGACCATGTCGGCGCGTGATGACGAAGGCAAAACTGAGCCCCTCGGCTCAAGTGCTCGCACCCAATTCTTGGCGGCCTCGTGGCGCGCCCACCAAAATTCATTAATGGGTGCACGCAGGCATTATTATTGTCTGGGCGACGGGGTCTTGTTTAGATTCTTTCCTTTTGAGCCATCCCCACCAATGCATCCCAGATGCATAATATTTCTCACTTGACGATCCAGATTTGACATTGCGAAAGCACCAACCCAACTCAATCAACCACGAGGAACAGAACCGAAGACGGAAGATAACAACAAAAAACAAAAACATCAAGCAAAGTCAACTAAACTGCGGGGAAATCGAAAAGGGGCAAGAAAAGACACGCGACAATCCGATCCAGCCTTTACCCTCCATCCTTTCAACTCGGACCCAAGACAACAGAGCCACCAAAAGCCACGATGCTGCTCTCCGAGGATCCCGCTACAGTAAGCCGGCACAAGGCAGCCACCTGCGTACTCAAGAGAAAACTAACATTCGCCGACCCTCACAGCTCATCGACCACACGATCAAGAACTTCAACATCGCGCCAGACAAGCAGGCCGTATCGCGCATCAACGAATCCCTTTCCACCCTCGGGCAGGCGCGTGAGCTTCGCGCGAAAGAAGCTGAGGATGCTATCCGACGTTAGTTTATAGCATCCCCCTTTTCCCACTTACCCATATAACGATCGTAGACGGAATGGCTGATGACTCAAAAATTTTCAACTTACAGGTCTCGCACGTTCCATGAAGACGAAGACGGCGCAGCACGAAGAGCTCGTCGCGTCTCATTCCTCCGCCGACCACGCTTCGGAGATTGCCCGTCTCGATACCCAAAAGTTCCGCACCGCCAAGGCTGCGTCCGACGCCGAAATGGAAGCTGAACGTCTCGCCCTCCAAGCCGCGGACCTCGCGGCGCGGCTCCAGGAACTCGAACTTCAAGGGCTTGACGGAGGGGATAGCGCGAAGCGAAGAGACCCCATCGATGACGAGGTGCTTCTCAGACTCAAGGTGTACCGGAGTTTGGGAATCGATATCGAGCGGGACGAAAGGGACGGCGAGTTCACCAAGGCCGTCATTAGGAATGACAGGAAAGGAGACGTGCACGTCGTCAACATGGACAAGAAGTTTTCGAGGTTCTTCTACGCCAACTATTTTTGGCAAACGCTCTGAGCAAGGGAACCTGGGGAAGGCGAGATGACATATTGTTACGATTCAAGGGGACTGTGGGGGCTTATGATTCTTTGGGTAATGGCGGCGTTTGGGGGCTGGATACGTGATACTCCTTAACGCATATAAATAATGACTATCAATGATGTTTATTATACCTGTGAGTAAGACTCAGTAAAGACGTGAAACCAAGTTGATCAACCGATCCCGGACTTTTTCAACCCTGGACAGCTGTTTGCCAGTCTAAAAGGACCACAAACAAGAATCCAAGAGAGATGAAAACGCCTTCCATTACCGTTATTTATTCTACAATGGATGTACAATTTCTTTTTGGTGGTGGCTCCAGGCCATCCCAAGAACTCGTTCCTTGATTCGGACCGTTCCGCGCTCCAGTGCATTTTGTAGTCCAAGCCGAGAAGTCTATAGATGGCTCCGGCGTGCCCGTTTCAACATGGCGCTCTAAAACGATGGGCTTTTCGGGTTTTAAGGGGTCCCCCAAGGTGCCGCGGTGCTTCTTCCCGCAAACCCGTAGCTGATTTTTGTCATCTCGTTGTTGTCCATGAAGATTCCAGATGGATATCAATCATAACTTCTGTTTTTTTTTTTTTTTTTAAAGCAGTACCAAATAATGTCGGGTCGCAGTTTGGTCCATTCACCTCCGACTCAGCCTCGGAGATGCAGGCCCAAAGAAGCCCTCGTCCCCACCGGCGGAGGTCAAGGTTGGTGGCATAGGGGGAGGTGTACGAGCTTTGGAGCTATTTGGTGACACTCGTTTTCTTCGTGTGGTGGGACTTCGAGTCCGCGCTCTCGTCGACAGGGCAGTCTCCTTGGGAGGAAGTATCGTCAAGCCGGCAGACAGAGTCCTTTTATGGTGCGGCCTTCCATGGGTATGCCGGTGGTTCACCTCGGGCAGCTCGAGGCGAGTTGATGTTCATCAAAGTTCGTCGTCCTCCCCACTTGCCCTCCACCCGCCAACACCTTCGAAATCCCTATCCAGGCCGACGCTCGGAATTAATCCTGGTCCCGTCTCTTTTGTCGGGGAGGAGGCCTCGGCGGATATCAGGCTTGCCGAACTTAGGCGGCGCCTCCTCCGGAAACCGGCGGTCGAGGCCGGGGACAAGGGGGCTACCGGCGGCGGAATACCTATTGTTGTTATAATAAAGCCGCCTACGAGAGAAAAACGTCCGAAAATATACGTTGGGACGAAGGAGATGACGAGATCAAAGTATATGAGCATGACGCGGAAGAGGAGAACAGAGAAGGCGATAGTTGTCGTAATCCCAGCGAATATAGCCAGAGGCAAAGTAACAATGGTCAGAAATGGTATGACCAGCAACCGCAAAGGGTTGAAGAACGCCATTGCGGCGTAGGATTGTCTTGCACAGAGCTGGTCTTGTCGGTGATTTTGCTTATTTTTAGCTGATGGCTCGTGATGTTGCGCTCGCATTCTCCGATGCGAAGCTCTTGCCCATTCAGTAGGCCCAAAAATAAAAGAAGAGAGAAAACAAAACAATGGCGAAGATAAGAGCGGTCGGCGGATCTTGCCTTTACTCCGTTGCTATTGCTTCAAGAGCCATAGAAAAAGAAAGTATCAAGATAAAAAGGGGGAGAGGGGAAAGAAATCGATTGCGTAGTGTTGGACAATTCAGGCGCCCGCTACGTAGATTTTGCGGCGATCTGAGTGCAGCTGGAAGGCAACTGGGGGTGCGAGGTATGCAGGCAGCTTCGTAATAGGACGGCCAAGGCGAGATAAGGGGCATCCGTGATGAAAGAAGTCAAAGCTAAAAAAGGTGGACGCCAGTCTAGATGAGGGCGTAAACTCGGAGTCACTCGAGAGAACGGGGTTGACAAAAGTTGACCGAGAAGGAGCGAAAAATGGCGTGGCAGAATCACATGTGTTTTGTTTCGCTGTGGCTTCGCCTAGTCGGTAGTGGCCGAGCTCCCTGTCTGCTCCATGTCACTTGGCGGGGCCCGGTACCGTAGGTGTGGTCTCGGTGATGCGCAGATCGTTCGTACCCCTACTAGTCCGGGATTCTTCCCCTCTTCCCCCATTCCCCTCAAAGATCCCTTGATAACCCCCGATGGTGGGACTAGGCGCGCCCGACCGTGGCTCGAGGTTCATGTCGACTTCAAACCACTTTCCTTAACAAAGTAGGGGTCTTTCGACCAGTTGCGTCAGTTGGATCAAGGTCTGGTGGAGCCCGTTGAGCCGTTCTTCCGCAGCCATCCATTCAATTGATATCGAGTCTTTCAGATCAGCCCGGCTCCTTGGACGCTCCAATGGTCCTTAGGATATTGCAGTGGCAATGGATGCGATAAGGTCCGTATAGGCTGGCCGAGGTCAACCGAATTGATCCATTGCAGAGACTGCCTGTGTTTGCCACCTCTCATATCCCACGGGCAGCTCTGACCAGTCGGCCGATGATCCACGAACGCTCGACCATACTACCAGAGGTGAGGGATTGGCTGGTTGGCTGGCAATTGGCTATCCCCTCTTTTCATCCTCTTCATCTTCTTCCCACCACCTATTCCTAGTCGCTAGTCTCACGTATGTATACCTGGTCAGACGCAAGGGCTGCATTGAGGAGGCGAAACCGGCCAAGACTTCAAGAACAACCCATTGACGTTATCTCAGCAAGTCAACGATTCGTATTCAAGTAAACCATGCAAAGCGACCGCTGATCTCGATTATCGAAGCCCAAAGGAGTAGACCAAGCCTCCAATCAATACGTTAGTGTGTACTCGGTATCAGTAGTCTAGCTCTCGGGGATGTAGTGCCCTCGAGGGAGGATAGCACTGTGACAATACGGCGCCTTGTTAAGGACCACGCAAGGCAACAAGTAGTTTCCACAACTGCTTTAATTCACTATGACTGCGGACCATGTGAGATCAATGCAGTGCCACATCAAGGCTATTTGCACTATTCAAGGAGACTGGCCCTCTAGTCCAGCGGCAGAATCAAACCATCGTTGTCCTTATTCTTTAGCAGAGGCCAGGGGCCATGATGAGGGCACTGGGGGACAACGGCCCCGTAAATGTGACAAGCCCCGCCGTACAAGCTCAGCGCCTCCAAAACTGATCAAATTCCTTAGCCCCACAATCGTCATCGATTCCGCAACCCCGCATCAGCCTGCCTCGCCTCGCCCGTGCTGCTCGTCCCCCTTCGAGGTTGCATGCAGATCATGAAGACCGTCGATGGAATAGCTCGCGGAACAAAGCACCTCTAGCCTAGGCTTCCTTGGATATCTGTGCAAAGTACAAAATTTGTGCACTATAGACCTTTTCATCACCCACCGAGGCAAAAGAGGAAGAGTACACCAATCCAGTTTCGTCGATCGTAGGGCTGCCGTTACGCACAACGCCACAACCCCCACAGTCTCTACCTAGCTCCATCACCATTGAACGTTATCAAGCACCCGCGTCAAGGCTTGCCGCGCGCTACCATCCACACACACGCACACACATACCTCTCTAGGCTACCCCTCAGGACCAAACGAGAAAACTCACATACCGTTGACGAGCTCGCTACAATCTAGACATTGGTGCTAAACATGTGTGGAGGCGAGCAGCATCCGTCCCCGGCGCGTGGCGACGAACCCCAGCCCTCCACCCCTTTCCCCTGGGACGCCGGAGCCTTTGACGCCCACTGCCACCCCACCGACACCATGAGCTCCATCGCCAGCATACCGGACATGAAGTCTCACCTACTAACCATCATGGCCACCCGCTCCCAGGACCAAGATCTCGTCAACGAGGTTGCCTCCCAGTACGGCCTCAAGCAGCGTTCGGATCTGAAAGGCTCCGGCTCGTCCAAGAAGCACGTTATCCCCGCCTTTGGCTGGCACCCGTGGTTCTCCCACCAACTCTTCCCCGACGACGACCCTTCCACGTTCGCCGCTCCTCCTCCCGACGCCCCCGCCGAAGCCACGCAGGAGTTCAAGAGAAAACACTACTCCTCCATATTAACCCCCGCCCCGACGACCCGGAATTCATCGCCCAGCTCCCCGCCCCCATCCCGCTCTCCTCCTTCCTCGACGCCACCCGCTCGCGAGTCAAAGCCCACCCCGTCGCCATGATTGGCGAGATCGGTATCGATAAGGCCTTTCGACTCCCGGAAAAGTGGACCCATTCCGGCCCCGAGCCACTCGACCCCGACGACTCCCTTACCCCCGGCGGCCGCGCGGGCCGTCGCCTGAGCCCCCATTCCGTCGCCATCGGCCACCAGATCGCCATACTGCAAGCGCAGCTCAGGCTGGCTGGCGAGCTCGCCATCCCCGTCAGCGTCCACGGAGTCCAGGCCCACGGCGTTTTATACGATGCCGTCGCCGCCTGCTGGAAGGGCCACGAGCGGGATGTCCTGAGCAAGCGGGAGAGGAGGAGAGTGGCACCCAATGCTGAAAACTGGTCCACGAGCGACGAATCCGACGGTGATGGCGAAGACGATGAGTTTGCCGACGACGAGTACTACAAGAAGATGCGCGCCCTGAGCCTCAAGCAAAGGACAAAAACAAGGCCGCCACGGCCAAGCCTTTCCGCCCAGGATATGTCTTCACTCCTTCAGCGGATCCGTCGAGGTGCTGAAGCGCTACATAAAACCCCAGGTTCCCGTGGATGTATACTTTTCCCTCTCCGTGGCCGTCAACCTCAGCACCCCCTCTGCCCATTCAAAGTTTGCCGAGATCGTGGCCGCCATCCCCGATGATAGGCTGCTCGTCGAAAGCGACCTGCACGAGGCTGGGCCGGCTATGGATGAAGCCTTGGAAGACATCTACCGCAGAGTATGCGAAGCCAAGGGGTGGGGTCTGCGGGAGGGCGTGGAGAGGATAGCAGCCAACTTCGTCACTTTTGTTTTTGGGGCCGAGGATTCGTAAACCACGCGGCGAGCGAATATGCCAATAATTAGGTTAATACATAGAAAAAATATGCTGTAGTAGACTGAATTGGACAAAACAAGAAGCATCAACCTGAACTCCCAAAAGGGCCATGTCCCGAAATCCCCTGTCCTCAAGATAACAAAAGAAAAGTTCCCATCGGTAAATCCCCAAGACTATCCAAACGCCACATGTACATATGAAATCGAACAGAGACGGCAAAGGGGTGACGCAAAGAAAGCCCCAAGGCTGCATGGCCCCCGTAACCGCTTCGAGCCCGCCCAAGAACTTGCGCCAACACTATCCACATTCCCATACCTGCCCATTTTGTGTTGCCTTGCCCCGTTCCAAATCTCCAGACCAAGCTACCCCACCTTAGGGCTTACGATACCCCAACTCATCAGCACCCAGCCTCGCAGTTGAAGTCCCGTAACCAGGAGAATATGGCGCTGTTCCTAGGCTACGACGGAAGCCATCCGAAATGGCGGGCAGGGTGGAAGATTCATCCTCCTCGGACTCGTAGGCAGGCGGCAAGTCATGATGCATAGAAGGATACGAGTACTCGGTGAACTCAGAAGACTGCCTTACAGAACCACGGCGCACCTGCATACTCGCAAGCAGAGGGTCGAGTTCGCGATCCATTGCAGCGGTCTCTCTCATGGAATCGCCACCAGCCACTAGATTATCCACCATGGCGACCGCTGCGCGAAGCTGGGCAAGGTCCTGTTCCATCGTATTTGACGCATCGGACTGCGATCGGCGGGTGCGCTGCTGTTGCACCTCCCGCACAGGCGGGGGCTCTGGGGTTTCGATGACCTGGTAGTGTTGCTGATATAGGTGTCCACCTTGTTCATGTTGGTGCAGGCGCTGCTGCTGCTGCTGCTGCTCCATATCTGGGGAGGGTTGACAAGGCATACCGGGGATCAATCGACGGACAAAGGCGGCGACAGCCTCCCGCCGGCGTCGATAACGCTCCTGCCGTTTACGCCTACGCTCCTGATGAAACTCGGCGATCCGACGCCTATACCGGATGACACAGAATATCGAGGCCATGATCATCATGAAGACAATGGCTGGAGCGACGGTATCACCACCCGAAGTTGAGTCCTGTAGTAATCACGTTAGCCATCGATCTCGGACCCGTCGTTTGGACGGACAGTAATAAGACGTACCCGGTTATCCGATTGAATCGGCTTTTTGACAGATTTTTCAGGTTCACCTTTGGAGGGGTCTGGGTTGTTGTTGTTGTCGTTGTTGTTGTTTTCATCCCCGCTAGGAGTCCCAGTAGAGTTGTCAGAACCGGGCGTTGAGTCGGCGTCCGAGGGCGGAGTAATGGGAAGAGGAGGAAACGTTGTGTCGTCGGTGGGCGGCTTAGGGAGGTGGCTAGTCGAGTCGTCGTCGGGAGCACAAGGGCAGAACAGCGGGCGCCAGGAGGGTCGCCTAATAGGGGCGTGGAGCCGGGACGAGGCACCCCCAGCGCTAGCATTCCCGCCATTCTTATGGAGAGAGGTTTGATCGTTGTACGACGCCGCATCGGAGTGCGAGCCCACAACGTTTGAGTATGCCTTGGCGGCCATGCCAGCAACACGGTCGAGGAAATGCCTCATGATGCATCGGAACTTCCCTTGGCACTGGGACGCGTCGCCGGTCTCTACTTGCCTGACAAAGTCCTCCAACTCCTTGATTCTATGCGCGATTTCGCGTTGCTGGTACCTCAAAAGTTGGATTTCTTCAATCGCGGTTTGAACCTCGTCATCCGGGTCATCGTCTTCGCTGGCCGGGATCCAGTAAGCCTTTTGGCTGGCGCTGATGTCAAGAATAGGGGCACTTGTCGCTTGACCCTCGACGGAAAGGATGGCGACCGGATAAGATTGGTGGAAGGTGACGGTGAATATCACATCCTCGAGGCGCGCGTTGTCGATCGACTCGATCTGGATAGTGATGGTTTCTTGGACCGGCTTATTGTCGAGCTCGACGCACTGGAGGGCCCATTTTGCCACGACCTCGGAGCCATAGTCTTCCAAGATGGTATCGCGACCGGAGCGTTCGGTTAGGGTTGCGAGAGCATGGCCGTTGAGATGGATATTGGACAGCGCACAGGGCTTTTCGGATTCGAAGAGCGTGAAAAGGAGAGTCTACGGGTTGTCCAAGTTACGATATTTAGCCAAAGGTTTACCAGCGAAATTACTGACACAGGAAAGCACTAGAACAAAGGGAGGCACAATCGCAGACGAGAAGAGAAAAAAGTGTCACATACCAATTCCCGGTCGAACCCATAGTCGCTAAGGTCAAGAGGGATAAGGGCCGTCGCGGTTTCTGATAAAGCAACATGAGTATTCTAATCAAAATCATACACGACAAGACCGAGACAGCGCGAGCGCCACTCGATGGAAGACAGTGTTCATCACCAATGCAGGAGCCACATTGGTGAATGATCACGACGATGGCCAAGACTTACCCTGAGCATTCACGAATCCGAAGTGGCCCAGGAGAGGCAAGAATGCCAAACTGGATCGGATGATGCCGCGCATCCCAGCATACCTTTCAGGCATTCAAGTTCTATCGGCCGGTGTCAATCACGAGAGGGTGGCGGCCTCGCGGCTAACGAGCCTAGGTGGTGCGGGCCAAGACAGAAGATATCTCTATTGAGTAATAGGGGCAAAAAGAAAAAGAAAAAAAAAGAAAACAAAAAATCGAGCACTATCAAAGCTGGCCCCCAACCAGACTGGTGTTGCCCTAGTACAAAGGCAACAATGAAAAACTGGGAAAAGAGGAGCCAAAGGGAGTCGAAGACTGAAGGTTTGTCAGTCGAATCGCGAGAGATCCGAAGCTGGGACTTGCGGGGAATAAAGTGGTTGCCTGCTGGAAATTGAACCAGAGACTGCCCAGATCAATCCACAATAATACGTGGTAAGAGGGATAGATACTTGGACAAGGTATTATTATTATGAACATTGAAGGGAATGGGAATCCGGTTCCCGCCGTGACTGCGCCTCGAATCAATGAGTCCCCGCCCATCCGCCTCCATGTAGTGTACTTCGTACGAAAAGGAGCCTGCCGCACGTGCCCAGTGCACTTTCCAAGGTGCGTCTCACTTTCCTTTGCTGGACGACCCAAGGAACCACGAGTCCAAGTCCCTCAGACTTGAATGTTCCTTCCAAGCTTGTGCCCCGCGCTCTTGACCGCATTTGTCGATCGGGTTAGGGTGTGGGCCAGCATCCAATGAGAAGGCGTTGGCTGACGAAGCTCGCATCCGCGGAGCCTCAATACGAATGTTTAGTGCCCAGTTGAAAAGTGTCAGCAACCCCCAGTTTTGTGGCCAGATTCAAGGAGGTCGATGGCATGTTGAGTTTGAATCAGATCCCAGTCGGGGTTTGAGTGGCCGGCCTCAATGATGGAGGGCTTGTTCATCGTCAACCGGGCCTTGCCTACCGAGGTAATAACATCCGCTTCCTATGAAGATTCTGGAGATCCGGGTCTCATTCACCCCTTTTAAACCTCGATTCGGATTCATCAAAACCTATCCTCCCTTTTTGATGCAGGCCAGGCCACTTTGCCCACGCCTCTTTACCGAACCCTCGAACTTGCACGCAGGATGTCAGATCGACTGTTGATGGAAGACTAAAAATCCAAGTTGCTCGACATCCCAACTCTTGTGGTTCCACGTCTATCTGCACCTCACTTTGCTCAGCTTGATCTCGTCGCTATTATCCCACATCCAATGATGTCCAGATAACAGTCATCCGGATATAGACTCTGCGAGCCCAAGATTTCAACTGTGGGGTTAGAAACTTTAACGTGCCATATTCTCGGCCTCATATGTCTCTTCTCCCTTTCTCAAACCACCCGCATTCACTCCAAACAAGTGTTCTTTTTTTGTTGGCGGACTTCTCGACGTGCCGGACAGACCAACATCGTCATGGTCACCAGCACTGTCGCGGTGCATACACGTAGAGAATCCTCATGTGGAGCTTTCCTTTGATCTGATGCACCCAGTCTCCTATAAATTAATGCATAGATTAGATGCTAGCTCTCCCTAGACAAGTTTGGCAGAAGCGCAGGCTAACGGCTCAAGGCCAGATTCTCATTGCTTCTCTTATTCGTCCCCCGATCGCTTGCCATTGAAGCTCGCAGTCTAGGAGATACATCTTGCGCACATGTAGCTCTTCATACAACGCCCAATGCGCCTTATCCGATACTGGATGGATTGATTCAGCGGGAACCACTGATTACACCTTAAGGGGAAAAAAACCGTTCGTTGCGAATATATGGCTTCCGAGCTTGCTTTGACCACGTCCATTCTTGAACCACGGACTTCTTCTCTTTCCTTTCAACTTCAACTACCAGGCACAGGCCACTGCTCTCGTAGTTCATTTCGATCGCAGCATACGCGAAGACTATAGCGCGATATTACATCAATAGCTTTTTAAGTTGTGGTTGTAAGTGGCGGAGGTGTAAAAATCTTAAAACTTAGGGTGTAGAAATTTACCAATCACTGCACTGGCTGGGACGTCAACGTCAAATGGCAGAATCGGTTACGCCATCTGCTGCATCCTGCATCTCCTCATCTTTTCTACTTGGACAACCTGGAGCGCAAAACGGCCACCTTTCAACAGATATCCACCGCCACCACCCCACCACCATCGAGGATCACTCAATCAGCTGGGTCTGTGTGAAGCATATTTGGAGGACCGGTGTTAGGAAGGCCGAACGAAGACTGAATAAAAGAGGGAAAGGGAGTAGTCGGCGGGGAACCGCAATGTGCATTCGAAACCTTCCCGGCCAGTCCAGTCGAGTCACCATGCCCCAGTCACGGCTTTCGCGCCCAGCACCATGGCGCGCTGACCTCCTGGCCCATCTTAGCCAACTCGGGCTACCCATCTGCGTCCTCAGTACCGTTCACGCCGGCGATAGCTCATCCGCTTCGGGACCGGCGAGTGCTACGTCATGGGTCCCCCGGGCCAGAACGGTAGTCTTCCGCGGCATGTGGGAAGCCTCCCGGAGAATGATAAGAATCCGGCCGAGAGAAACCCCCTACGTATGAGAGCGACCTCCTCTCCTGACCACGGATGCCCGGACGGACAAGGCTCAAGAGATTGCGCCAGACGCAGAAGATTCCAGTAGCCCCGGCGGAACCGGAGGAGGCGGGCCATTCGAGGTAGTGTTTTGGATCCCCGATGTCATGACGCAATGGAGGTTGAGTGGAAGGGCATACCTACTGGGGCCGGATATCGACTCCGATGAGGCGGCGGCGGTGCGGGTCCGGAGCGGCCTTCTACAACGCATGAGAAAGGTTGAAGATGGCCCCTTTAGCTGGTCAAGAGAGGTTACTGCTCACTTTGGCAACATGAGTCCCGGGATGAGGGGTCTTTTCGAAACCCTCCCCCAGGACGCCCCGTGGCAGAAGGGCAAGGAGGCGAAGGGCTTGGCCTCGGGCAGACGGTTGAGGATCTCGGAGATGAGATTGCTAGGAAGAATTTTAGGGTCGTAGTGTTGGCACCGGACGAGGTAGACAGGGTGGACCTCAGCAACTCCAAGAGAGCTAGAAGATGGAGGTACCGATATGTTGAGGGAGACGAGGAACAATCTTGGGAGACAACTGAACTCTGGCCTTGAAACGGCTGGGCCAAAAAGGGCGTCCATCGGTGTTACGGATGTAAGTCCCAAGAGGAAGCTGCATCTTCACCTCCTCCCTCTCCCGTGGATTGGCTTACGCGTAGGGTGGAGTAACTACGTTTCTACATCTTCATCTTCATCATAGAACCAACTAACAAAGGTAGCCTTGAAAAGGGCCCATCCTACTCATCCCCACTCAGTTCCAGAGACGATAGCTCGCGTGGTCCGTTGTCCGACCTTCTTTTGTCAAGCATCGTGGAGCCTTGACCACAACACGAGGTTACTTTGTGCGCCGTGTAAAGTAGCTAAGACTCTCTTGAGTGGTGGGCTGGAGGATGGGTCCAGATCCTGACGGGTCAGTCGGTGTCTCTCACGCCAAGCATCATCGACATCTCAATGCACGTTGCGAGAAGGTTGGGGCTCTGGGTGGAAGGTGGCCTGGAAGGGGCCGGGAATATTAGAACATAGAACCAACCGGCTTGACCACTACCACTAAAAACAAAAGTAACAAACCCCCAAAATAAATGAAAAAAAAAAAAAAAAAACCGCAGAGGAAGATGTTGCGCGATTTTGTCACGAGTATCTACACTCCTCGGTTCGTTAACAAAACTCTCACCCCTTTCCCACTTCATTCCTTGTTTGCGTCGTGATCAATGCCATGTCCAACACGAGCCTCCTGGGTTTGAGTTTCTGGCGATGTGACCGCAGAAGAAGAGGAAGAATGCTAGGATGCTACCCTAGGGACAAGAAGGGAAAGATTTTTCGAGAAAGGAAAATGAGAGGACCAGAGTTAGTAGGTGTGGATGTGCGTGTCGTTGAATGCCACAAGCACGGCAATAAGAAGATCAAGAAGCCGAAGAGGAAAAATAGCGTAAAAATAAATTCGAAGGCAGGCAAGCAGGGAGGAGAAGGGCGGACGGGAAATCCTGGTTTGTGTTAATAGAGGTCCCGCTTTTTCCTGCTCTTGTTCGACCATTTATTTCGCCCACAAGGGCAGGCAGGATCGACCAGAGCTCCACAGTGCAAGGGTACCACGATATCAAGGGATCCATTCTGAGGATCGCATTGTAACATGAAATGGTGGTGACATGAAGTCAAATCACGACGCCAAGCGCCCAATGAGGGCTGCGAGTCTGGAGAAAGCCTACGAGGTCCAAAATCTTAGCTTGCGGTGGATTGGACTAGGGCAATCGAATGGATAACACGAGCGGGTCTTTCGGCCTGTGATAGCCTCTATAGGCTCTCCGTCCCAGTCCCCCTTTCGTTCTCCCTGCCCTTCCTCAAAGCTCGGGCGGATCTTGGCCCCGTAAGATCTACAAGTTGATGGCGGGGAAGCCTTTTTCCGAGTTATAAAAGTAGATAGAAGGGTGGGAGGGAACATTGGTGGCAAACGGCGATCCGTCGGCGGTTGGCTTGGGAGAAAGAGAAGGGCACCGTCTTTGCTTGCCCTTCGTTCAGTGAAGTGACATCCAGATGGAAAGTGCCCATGTCTCTTGGCGGTGGTTTTAGAAGCAAGATGGAACATTTGCTGAACATTGTGGCCACTTCGGCAGCGTCACGACACTTCCCCTAGCGCAAAACAGCATGGGGCGGCACAGGGGTCTGTGCCGGGCACGCACAAGCAAAAGGGGAGAGAGAGAACGGATGTGCCCCATGCGGCAAGTGCCATAATATCCCCAGTAATAAACGGAGAATATCGAGGCAAGGAGCAACAAGCTGCTGCCCTCGCCGGGCTAGGCCAGGCCATGCCACATGTTGGGGCTACGCTCACAGGACTCACCGGCTCGCACTTCTGCCAATGAATTCGAAGCGTCCAGGGGCTGGCGCTGGGGTTTGCCTTGGCCATCGCCCCAGACGCATCCGGCCTGTCTTGCCCCAACCAATGGCCTCGTCACCCTTTTCCACCCACCCACTATTATCTCGAGATTCGGACTGGAGACTTCAGAGGCCGGTGTGTGGCGGGCTGTTTGCTTCCGTCCACGTCCCCCACCTTAACCTCGGAAATGGAGTCTACACTAGGGTACATGCATGGATAAGACCGTATTAAGTGAAGGGGAGAATGGGGAGAGTCCTTGTCATCCTGGCCTGGGCATCGATCATGAAATTTTGGCAAGCTTGGGGCTGTTTCGACCCGGCTTCATCTATCACGATCTTGTCATTCCCGCTGTTAAATTGCGGGCAGGCATGAAATATTAGTGCATGTAAAAATGCCCTTCTCTGCCGTTATTGAGAGTCGCCGTTTCTACACCTCCAAATGAGACGAGATAGGGAGATGAGGTCAGAAGTCAAAGTTTGAAAGCAATTAATTTCAAGCAGTCTCGCTTGCCGCCCTTTCTTCATCCCCCTTTGTGTATGTTGTATCAACAAGTAAAACGGATAATAAGTCAAACTATTTATAAACATAGCTCTCTGAAAAGGTCTTGGATGATATCGGTCTGATCTCCAAAGCGCCACAAACGCCGATGATGCTCTTTACCCAGTATTTTGAGCTTGATGAGGAACCGAGGTGAGTGAGGTCGTTCAATGTTCATCACCATCCTGGACTGCGTGCCCGGCAAGTGGCTCTTCTCCTATTCCTTCCTGCTTGCTCTTGCCCTCATTTCGTTCCGAGCCCTGCTACTCTCGGAGCCCGGAAGAGCCCGGAAGCTGGCCACAGTCGGAAAAAGAAACCTGCCCTGGCAGTGGATCGATCGGCGCCGTCAGTGATCCATTGTCTTTCTCCTGGCGCCTTTGTTGATTGTGAAGGGGGTGTCAGCTGAGGATCCTGGACGGACCGCCTTCGTTCAATGTTCTCTCTGTGCCTTTCACACCGACGGGGACGAACAAGCCCTATCCCGTGCTAGACCCAGGCCCTCCTTTTGCTCTCCAGTGCAACCCTGAATCGAGAGGGCGCGCGGAGGAAAGGGGGGTTGACGAGGCCACGCGATGTCCCCTTGATGGAGTCCCTGATGGACCCTCGATCTTGGAGCTTGACGGATGGATCAATGTGGATGCAAGCAAAACGGAACCCGATTTTGGAGGGACCTGCCAACGACCAAGAACCCTCCACCTTTTTTTCTTTTTTTCTTGTTTGTTTTCTCTCTTGCTTGTCCACAGGAGGTCGGATTCTTGATCCATGGACTACATGTATGGATAGATGGAATTTATTGAATCGACTGTCTTCCCCACTTGAGCCCCCATCGTCTTGCGCCAGGGTTCTCTCTCTCTCTCTCTCTCTCTCTCTCTCTCTCTCTCTCTCTCTCTCTCTCTGCTGTCTGCTGACCCACAAGCAGAAGGATCCATTTCATCTTGCTTTCGCAAATCAAGCATTTCACTAAAACGATGGGGGTTACTGGAGAGTTGTGTGTTGGCGTTGGCAGCGACAGAGAAGGTCAATCTGCCAGCTAGACCCTGCTCAGGGTGCAGTGTTTAGGGTACCTCGGGTACAATTTGGTACGTCAATGCTCAAGTGGGATCGTACGGCCTCTGAGGGGACTCGGGAGTCCTGTCCCTTAGCTCTCACCACTTGAGCACCCGAGGGGCATCACTCATCATTCGTCAGAGTGTTGTTTGAAAGTAACTACTTCTCACAGTGTATCTGCAGCCATCTGCAAGGTCGAAAGGGAAGGGGGCGGGGAGAACGAGATGTGTGCGTTGTTCACCCTTCACTACATGTACATGATGCAGCTCACACCTCGTGAAATAACACACGCAGAACACCAAAAGCTCGAACCAGAAGAGAAAAGAAAAATCGCCGTCAGTCCGGCGAGTACTACGGTGGGCATGAAGGGAGGAAGAAACCAACCAACCCACAGAAAAAGAAAGGACAAAAAGAAACACGCAGAAGATAGACGGGGCGAGACCATGCTGATACTGCAGCAAAGCCAACTTCGTACATGGAGTGAGGTCATGCCCTTCCTCCCTTGATGCAGGGGGGCGGCGCCAAGTCAAGGTAGGCTTGCCAAGGGAGGGGGTCCGCTCAGCGATACCACATCACACTGCAAGATGCATCCGGGGCATCGAAATCACCCCGATATGATTCGGATGCTAGCTAGCGAGTTAAGGTAACAAGTCTACACGAAAAGCGCATTCCCAACGCCACAGTCGAAACTGGGGGTTTGCCAGGCGGAGGCCAAAACAGATAGAAGAGATAAAGGTGAAAGAAAAGGCCTGTAAACCAAAAAGAGGAAGAAAAAAACCACGGTGAGGCAATGCACAAGACGAGACAAGAGAACGAGGGGGCGGAGAGCACGTTCATCAGCGCTGCATCCGGCCTCTCTGACCAAGCTCCTTGCAGACGTCGCCTCCATGCGTTGCGACATGCACCAGTCCGGCCCGGATGCAGATGGAAAAGATTATTGCGACCTGACACCCGCACAAGGAAAAAGTTTCCGCGAACGAGGCCAGCCAAGACGAGAGACAAGCAGAGAGGGCTAAAGACGAGTTGGCGTGGCGTGGCGGGGCAAGACAGCGCTGCCTCTGGCTGTGCCCGCCCCGTAATATGGCAACGGTTCGTTTGAGAAATAGCCTGTTTTCTTGTGAGCTCGTCATGAACCACCTATGCAAGCCATTTTTAGAGACTGGGCTTAAGTGGGGGTTAGACTAGACGTCGTTCGAAGCAAGGCGGCTTTACAACACTACGATGACCAATTTCATGCAAGCCGTTGTCTGCATTGTCTGCACCCGTTATGCTTGCACAAAGGTGGCTGCCATCATTCTTGGTCAGGTTAAACGAATGCGATCCATCATGATTTTCAATGTTGGCTTGGGGGCGATCGTGTTGGCGGTCCTCAACGTTTGGTCCGTTGGTTCAATGCTTTCAAGAATAGTAAGATGGACATTGTGATCGGACGAGTGAGAATGACAAGAACAGTTGACCTTGTGATTGAAGACAAGGGATGGATGTATTGTCCATTTCCGAGAACGAGCTCCCACTAACGAAACGACCATGGGTGATGCTGATCATAGATCTGGTGCAAACTAGACTCGCTAGTATTAGAGCTTGAACGAGTGGAAGACCGCACAGGACTAACGCTCGAAAGGCCAAGCCCTTGTCTACGAAGAAAAAGAAAAAGAAGAAAAAAGGTGAAAATCATTCAGTTTTGGTTTCTGAGGTGCAAACCCTAGATCCCGTCGAGGACGGAATCGCATGATCCATTTCTCAGTGAACCAGTGCCGTCAATGTACTTTAGCACGAGCAAACTCGGCTTCGCATTGACGGACTCAGGGTGCAGTCTCAAGGGAGAATAATACTTCGTACAAGGACGTCTAGCAAATTCTCCTCTCCGATCAGAAAACGAGACGCTGTCTGGCCCATGCTGCACGCGCACGAAACCGGCCCGCCTGGCCTGCCTCTCCCCACATCAATCGCGCTACTTACAATGTCTTTTGTGCCTGCAGCTTAGGATCAGCCGGCGCTAACACTCCAACTAATATGGTAGAGCCTAGCCTGAAGGTGCGGACCGCCGCGGTCCCATGTTGT